CAAGTGTGGTAAAGTCAAATGTCATAAAGTCAAGTGTTCGTAAAGTCAAGTGTACTTGACCCCATGTATTCTCTATGTATTTTCTCTGCGGGGCTCCGCACGGAAGAACCCTTCGCGATGCTTTCGGGAACATTATGTGCTCGCCTATGCATGTGAGGCACGGATGATGGAGCCAGCCACACTGCCCGCATCGCGCAGCCTCAAGGGCAGCACCGTTGCAGTCTGCGGCACCGTGGAGTTGGCGAGCAAGGCACTTCCCTTTGTTGTCATACTCTTCCAGCCAAATCGTCCCCTGCGAATCCAAACAAACGAACTCGCCCACGCGCAGGTTCATCACCCAGCGGCCCTGCCACAAAGAACCGTTGCTGCTGAAACACACACCTTCACCGTCTGCACGGCCACCGCGAAAAGAACCCAAGTGTTGCATGTCTTGAAGCAGCAGCGCGCCAAGCCCATGTGGCTTGCCGTCTGTGGCATGCCAGCGCCCGACTTCTCCGGCAAACATTGCCGTCTTGGCGATATGTATCGGGCAGATCGCAGCTTTGCACCACACTTCCTTCAAGTCTTTGTGTAATCCGATCCAAAACTCCTCTACTGCGCGCAATGGATCCGCTGCATTTCTGTGCAGTCTACCTCGTCTGGCCGTGCTGGAAGGCATCAACTGCAAGGGCATCTCCACGGATAGCCTCGGTGCAGCCTTTGCGGACACCTCCTGGACACGGGAATCACAGCATTCTTACATGTCTACGGTAGCAGCAATGCCTCACGAGCGTTCTAAAGAGTATCCAATTCAAGGTGCACAGGGAGGTCGTTATCACACGACTCCTGCAAAAAGAAGCATTGCCGTCTACATTCCGGCTGCTAGTTATACTATTGATTATAGTGTGGAAAGGGAAGCAATCAAGATTCGACTGCACTTCACAGCAGTCAAGCGTTCACGCTGAAAATCTCGCAAATCCTCTACCCACAGGCTCCGTCCTCTGGTTTAGGGGCAACTGCGGCACGGAGACGAGACTTGGCACGCTGGGTTGCAGTGAGTCCATCACCTCGGAGTGTCATTTCACCAGCGAGCGTGGTGGGTCAGGGATTAGGTCCCCATGATCACTTCGATTGTATGAGCACACTTCGACACAGGCTCTGAGATTTGACATCTCCAGGGATTCCAAGGCCTTATGTAGGCCCTTCTTCTCGACCGCAAATTGCGGAGGTCGTGGTGCCGGGCAAGCACAAACATTGCTGAACTGTTTTTGTTGTTGCTCGAAATTCCACACCGCATCGAAATAGCCCTCGACTTGGCCAGAAAACCGGGCAGCAGCTCCTGCTTGGGTGGCTGCCGTTCCTGCAGGAGGTGCGGCCTGCCAAATACCAGTCTTCATTTGAGCAGGCTATGCTCTGAAATGGCAGGAACTGCTGAAGCTGTAAACTTTCTTGTGGAACCCCATATTGAAGGCACGTGATCTGAGATCTCCTTGCGTCGAACGCGCCGAGTTTTTGTGACTGCGAATGCCAGAAGTGTCCAGCATCGAGCCTTCTGTGATGTGGCCGTAGTCCGAGACTCACCTGGCAATAGCAGAAATCTCAAGCTCGGGCTGCGGCGAAGCATTGTGCATACCGATGCAGCAAAGTTCCTCTTATTCAGGGAGATTTGTGCTGAAGCTTCAGCCCAAGTCGAGACTTGCAGGAGGGTCTTCAAGTCCTGCGCTGCGCACTGCTACTCCGCCTCTTCCTATCACAACTCAGGCCTCGCCCCAACCTTGTGCTTGGGCGAGAATGGCCTCTCAGGTTTGCAGCATTCTCATTATAAGGGTCACGAGCATATTCACGCGAGGACGTCAGCCAGCTCCACACGCACCCCCACACACACACACACACACACACACTAAAACTGGAGAAGGACGACTCTGCTCTGCGTAAAGGAACTGGCAAAGTACCGCTTGACAGCACAGCACCCGACACCACATGCACCTGGTTCCATCCCATGGAGACACTGGCACCAGCTTCAGATCGAGACGTGCCCAGTTGATGAACGCCGTCCTGGTCGTAAGCATGCAATTCAACTTGAAGAAGATGCCGCGCGGGGAAAGGCTCTCGCACTTCAGGATCAGGTGCTGTGCTGACGACCTGGACATGCCAGCTTCATTTCTTCGTTCGAGAGTGGGTTGCGTGCCCGTTAGCGTGGTGAGCCAAAACTGGAGCCGTGGCCGCTGATATCAAGCCGGTCCTGATGCCGTCAATGAGCATGATACCAAATTCACGCCACGCTAAATAAAACGCAACACAAAGCCCCGAACCCCAAGCCCGAAGACAAATAATCCTTGAACTTGAATTTCGTTCGCTGTGGCTGCAGGGGGATGAACCCATCATTCTCCACCATGGCGGCACGCGCTGGTAGAGAGAAAGGCCATAAAGCTAAACCGAAGTACTGAATTGGCAATACTCCAGCCATCTCTGCACCCGTCCTTGCAGCTGTAGATGCAGGAGATACAGAAACTGAACAATGCAACTTACTTTTGCATGCATAACTTCCCTGCAACTAAAAAACAAGATGGGCTGGGAGGCGGGCTACCGCTACTGCAGCTGCTACTGTTCCGGGCAAAAATAGCGAGGACGACGCCGGATATGTTCAAGATGATGATGGCGACGACTGCAGTGGCAGTAGTGATGATGATGATGATGGTGATGATGATGACGACGTTGTTCAGGGCGAGTGTGTCGCGGTGTGCTGGTGGGTTGGGCTTGTCGCGCCGGCGATGATTAGCACCGGTGACCCTGCCTATCAACGAACAGATGTATGTCTGTCGCATGTATAGTTGTGATTCGATGAAATGAACAGCCCTGCAATCTGTCTACGAAACTGTGAGCATGCGAGTGAAAAACACTCTGGTCAGTTGGAGAGCCTCCATCTGGATGCTCGTCGGCGACAAGGCCACCCAAGTTTGTAATGATTCATGGCATGCCGGAACGAGTGTTCTGTAGCCACGAAGAAATCGAGATGTCTTTGTTGATTTCAGTGGCATAGTACTGGACAGCAATTGCAGTTGGGGATGGACCGCCAAAGTGTTGCCACTAAAGGCGGCCGGTCTTGACGAGGCCTGAGACACTTCAATGTGACATGCCCTCGCCCTATACACTCCGAAGACAAGCCTGTGGAACGAGAAAGCCACCAGGTAATAGCCAGAACACGGTTCGGGCAGGCCTACTGCGACTGTCGCCTTGAGCAATCTTTGCCGCAAACTCGGGGAACTTTGTGCTTGTATCACAGTCTCCAGCTGGCGCCCTTGTTTGTCGTCTCTCACAGCTATCCCGCCGAGGCCGTGCTATGGCCAGCGTGCCTCGACAAGGACCTCAGTTCGCGACTGAAGGGGAATCCTGAGTGGGCTCAATGACCCTTCATCCAGTCGAGGATCCCCAGCGAAGAGTGTTTTCCGAAAACTCTCCAGGTTTGTCGACCACGTGGCCACCGCATCCTGATCTTCTAGCCCCTCTCCAAGGTTGGGTGGCTTGACCTGGACGTGAACGAGAGAAAGAAAGCACAAGCGCGCGCGAGAGAGAGAGAGAGAGAGAGAGAGAGAGAGAGCGAGAGCGAGAGCGAGAGCGAGAGCGAGAGCGAGAGCGAGAGCGAGAGGGAGAGCGAGGGCGAGGGCGAGGGCGAGGGCGAGGGCGAGGGCGAGAGCGAGAGCGAGAGCGAAAGCGAGGGAGGGCGGGAGCGGGAGCGGGAGCGGGAGCGGGAGCGAGAGCGAGAGCGAGAGCGAGAGCGAGAGCGAGAGCGAGAGCGAGAGCGGGAGCGAGAGCGAGAGCGAGAGCGAGGTAGAGGGGGGGAGACAATGCCTTAACTTGAGGACTTCAGGAGCTCAGGAG